ATTCTCTCTTCATCTATTTTCTCAATTGGCATTCCAATTGATCCAGCTCAGGAGAAAATTTTGAAACCCAATATAAAAATTATAACACCCAGCACAATTCACCAAATTGAAAACCAACCTTTCATCAGTTTTCGCTCATGGCTCTCACATAATTTTCAATCAGATTTTTCCTCATTTCAATCTGATTTATATTTGAAAAGAAGAAGAGTACAGGGTCATAAACAAACTCCAAGAAGGCAAACATCCAATTTACACCATCGTTTTCAATTTCATCGATTCCCGTTACTTCAATGTCTTCACTTAAATTCATTTGCATAGATCCACTATAAATAAAGAATGATCTGTGATGTGGTGGTGTTGTCTGTTAGAGATTGTTAATTTTTATTCGTTACGATTTTTTCTATGAAGACATCGAAGAGAATTTACTGTTCATTGAAGAAAAATGTTTTGATAGCCGCTGTCCTAACCAAGGAGGAGAAAAATGTTGAAAACATATATTTGCTTCCAAAACGATAAAGTAAAGTGATTTGTTTGTGTTTCTTAAATATATTTGTCCTGATTTGTCTATATTTTATTTATTTTCCTTAAAATTATTTAATCCTTTCATTTTTTTCCCTTATCAAACAGCATGTTTTTTTATATTTCCATTTCCATAGTCAAAGACTACGATGTGCCTTAACTCTAAGATATCTATGGTTTTGTGTTTATGCTAGGGGGACGGGTTGAATATAAGGGTAACAGTGTAAATGCTTAGAATTTTTCAAATGTCACTTTTGAAGTAAAAAGAAAAGAAAAAGGTAATATGACTTTTTGGACATCATCTCTCTTAACGTGTGTCAGGGTGGGAATGAAAGGATTTATTTGCTTCCAAATGTTATATTTGTTCGTTCTCTTTCCTTAAGAAAACTTGTTCTTTGGAAATGCTTGTTTTTGTTTGCTTAGTTACTTGAAACATAATTCTTGATCAAGGTCTGATTTTATTAACCCTAAGATTTATATGCTTTCATGTTTAAGGTATGGGAGGCAGTTTGGTGGTTAGAGTGACCGTATTGGAGTGTAGAAATTTTAAATGATTGAATTTGTATTACAGCTGTAAATGCATAGTAGATCAAGTTTATTATTACCA